TCACTATAAAATTATGCAGTCATAACTGATAACAAAAATTTTCAGGCGCGTCAATGGATCTCGTCATCAGCACAGCTGATACCATCAGATGATTGTGGCTCGTCGTCTGGTTACGGATCACCGGGACGCACTCCTTTAGCCAGTCCACAGGGTGCAGAGCCATTTGGAGGTGAGACTTGCAATTTATGGCTGATAGTAAGCTGCTGAGTGTGGCAACCATTGAAGGCGGATATATTACGATTAAGAAGGAGCCCATTAGAATCATATTGAGCTGGTCAGTGGTGCCGGTATGAAGAGAAAATCATGAGAAACGGCCTAGAACCAGGAAGAAATGAGACCTCTTTCTTGCCCGTTGACTTTCGTACTGTGCGATTCTCATCAGTGCTGCTCTCCGCAACGCTAACGCTCTCTCTTCTAGACGGCTAGAAGCTTGACGGCGAGAAAGTGGGCGTGACGTGGCACGAGCGGCGCGGGGAGAGCCATGCTAGATCGCTGTAGTATATCCTTCGCTACGAATAACGTGTTGATCCGCAACCTTAGGCGGTCTGGCTGTCTTCCATTAGGTAAGTTTCCCCTTCTTGGACCTTCGGCCTTGTCGCGGAATCCTGCTTTGCAAGGCTCTAATTCGTCAGCCTAATAGCTTTCACGAAATGTCTTGGATACGGGCCGATGGCATTCCCAGAGTAACTTCGAACAATTGTCAAGACTCATCGATCACAAGTGATTTTCGTAAGAAATATATAATCGATTTTACAGCGCTTTCACTTCCGGTGCACATTCAACGAGCGTTTTCCGATGGTGTCGTCGTCAATGCCGATGAATCAGCACAACATTTCGGTGTCGGGCTGGCATCACCTGATTCAAGCAGGCCAAAACTCACGGTATGTAGCGTTCAGAATCCTTAGTAACGGCGACCTGTTTGTGAATTCAGTCTTCAACTGGAAATAAAATATCGCATCCACGCTAGTCAAAATATTCAACCCAGAATAAATCCTAAGAGAAGAGTTCAACCCATATACATGTATCTACCAAGATAAACATCTAGCGATTTCGTCGATGGACCAAAAGCTTTAAACAGGTGGTCCTGAAGGGAAAGCGAGATTAATTGGTCTCGTTGTTGTTATTACTGCTACTTGATAATCAATCACTGGAACAGAAAGACCCATGGGAGCCCTGTCTGATTCAATCGAGGTCGACGCACCGGTGGGGGCGTGGGAGGTACATACCAGATGGCCCTATGAGAGCAATGGCCTAAAAAAGAAAGAGCAGAGCCACATAACATTTTGTTATGCTAATTTTGTCGTACAATATGAAGATCCCTGAACCAGGTACTGCAATGGTAACCCGTCTCGTAATGCACAGTGGGCTACACTTAAACTACAGTACCTGATCATTCAGTGTAGACTGGGCCGCGTCTCCAGGATGGGCCAAATTATGGTAACCAAGACATCATGTCACCAAAAACGAAAATTGGCCAAATGAAACAAATCAACTTCAAAAAAATGTTTCCCACTAGTATCCCAAAGCCAACCAAGGTTGGGTTTAAAATTTGCTACCTGTGCATTAATTCAGGCCTTGCGATAAAGAGTGAAGGCGCGCACGGTGGCACGCACGTGGGATGCCCAACACGATTCCACGTTTTTTGTTGTGCCCACTCAACGGAATCAAACTTTTGGGGTTCAGAGTTTGCTTCAGCATCCAGGTTTTGCAGAAAATTCAGCTGAATTCGATGCGGGAGTCCTAGGTAACAGGTGTTCGAAGATCTCGTTATTCTTTGTGCAAGATGAAGATCTCAATGCCTCAAGGCCTTGGTGGTGTAAAGACTTCAGATGCATGGCGCATCCCTCACCACATTCACTCCTAGCACTCCAAACCTGTTGCATTATTCTGATGTTTCAATGAAATTCTGTGATACTGAAATCAGTTGAAAATTGAACAAATCTAAACGCGTGGCGCATCCCCAGGTGCTCATCAGCCGCCAGCACTTTGACCTTTCTCATTTATTCTGGCGCTTTCATGGAATTTTGGAAAACCAAGAATAAATGGGAGAGACCCAAACACCTTCAAACCCAAAAATGACAAAGTGAAATCAGCGGAGAAAAAATAAATAATGAACATGATGAAAATAAAGACGAAAAATAATTGAAGAAATGTGAGCAAAAACGCTAAAATGTAAAACATGGCCTTACCTGATCTTGCTTTGGCGATAGGCTCAGCACATCCAGTGCCAATCTATCGTATTCGAACATCTATGCGTCTGAAATGTAGTAACAATGAGTAATGTATGCTAGCTAGACGTACTATTAATAAATACGAGCGAGTGGTGAATAGCAATCACGAGAGTCTTTACGGCTGACCGAACGAAAACGAGTTTCCCGAATAAAGACCGAAATCATTAGCGAACATCGATGACATGAAAAAAACTATGATAGCAGATGGACAGAAAGTGCAATGACGAGGCAACGGGTTGACATTACTATAGAAAAAAGGCATATTTAATAGGTCATTAAATTGTTAATGAATGGAGGTGGTGTAGTTAATTGCGAGCGATTTGCTCGCTCCTGCTGTCAAACTTAGATCTAATCCACCCAGGCTTAACCGAACCTCCCATCTTTCTAGCGTCGGTTAAATGGCCCCAGCACGTTTGTTGAATGAAACAGTAACCTTCCCATCGGCTCACCCCACCAGTCACCAAATTAGGGTCGGTTGGTTCGGAAGAGGCGGTCGCAGAGTCCACGGGGTAAGATGGAAAAATAGTGACCTTACACTGGACTGTCGCGGGGACAGCACCAAATAGGCTAGGCTGCTGATCGCGTTCACGTACCACATCTGATCATAGCGCTCAGATCGGGTTAAAAGAGAATCCGAAGCATTCACAGGAACAAGCACGATTCACAATTACTTGAAAAAAAAACAACAACAAAAGGATAAACATCTGGCTTCAAGCCAATCTTTCTTATGAGATGCGCCACGTATTTCACTTTACCTTCCAAAACAAAACAAGAAAATAACCAAAAATTATAGCAAATAACAAAATCTACAATAACAGTAACGTCTACCACTCTTGCCGAGGTGCGGGTTCGAGTCACAGCTCAGCTCTTACCCACAACTCAGTCAGTGTAGTCTATAATCATGAGATTTTTGTGATTAATAACAGTGATTGTAAGTAGCCGAAAGACAAAAACAAGGTAAAATACTATGCTGAACTATGAGAGACAAAGGGCTGTATAATGCATCTTCATTGATTCACGGCAGAAAAGAAACCTTTTACAAATTTCTTTAGATGAAGCTGAGCCTGAGATGAAGCTACAAGTTGAAGCATTTGCCGTTGATCAATCCCTTTTCTGGGATGCGGCACGCATTCTACTTCCATTTGTACATTCGTAGTGGCGTTTGAATGCGATGTGGCCTATACAATGACTTGAGCACCTCGAAGCAAATAATAAGAAAAATATGCTGGGACTAAAGAAATAATTTTATTCTAAATTTTAAGGGATTTCTTCCGAATCCCTCTAAGGAGAGTCTAAGGAGAGGGTAGTAAACAACTCAGGGAGAAAGATTCTCTTTGAATTTTCTCCACGAGAGCATGTGTCATTTGATGAGAAAAGAAAACCGCTCCGAAATGAGTAATACAGAATTCAAATTATAATTCATTAATAATAATTAATAATAATTCATCCTAATTAGCGAGCAAAATGGATCTTTAAAATTGATTCAGTGGTGCGGATATTCTATCGGAAGAAGCAACTCGGACAAATGAAGATTGAAAATAAAAGCTTCAAGTGTTAGATAAAGCGAATGCTATAAAGGTCAGTCACGGCGCTTAAGGAAAATTAAAGGCAAAATAATTGCAAAATGTTTTTTCACGGCTTCTATGGCAAGAACATACCGAAGTCTACCAAAATCGGCGTACATGTACAAAAGGGGTGCATAATTTGAGTAACCCACTTACAGTATGGGTCTCATCCAGTAAGGGGTCAGGGATGTGCGACAGTTCACGTCGTAAGTAATCCACTTTTTTCAGGGGAGGGAAGCTCCGGGGTGGGTGTAAAAGTTTAAGCGAAATGGTTCACGCACCCCGGGGATTCCCTCCCCTTGCAAAAATTGGAATTCTGTAGCCGGCAAGAACTGTCGCACCACATGCCCCCTTACTGGAAGAGACCCGTATTTGGAACTAGGCCGTAGGGAGAAGGGCTTCTGAGAGATGGTGTGAGCAATTTTTTCTCCTTGGCATTTCTCCGCTCTTCTAGGCCTAGTGGTTAGGTATGATTGCGGTTTCTAAAAGACCCTTTTTGGCGTCCCCAGCCCTAGGGCCACGAGCACCCGAAAATCAGATGGAGAAAAAATAACACTGCCCTGGTTTCCTCGGAGCAGTAGAGGGACAAAATTGGATCGCGATCACACAAGGGTAGGATTCAGAGAACAATCTTACTATTCTCCATTCATCGTGTGATAGACGTGCGGAAACGAAAAGAAGGAAACTCAGGCAACACTGCGAAGCAAGGAAGAGCGTGTGCATAAAAGAAAAAACCTGAACTGCATGGTTTTGAAGGTGAATTAACAATAAACTTGTAGTTAATATGTGGTTCACAACAGACCGAAAAAAAAGACAAGGGAAACCGTCGCGACCCAACTACATAAGATTCTTCAGACAAGCCCACGAAGGAGAAACACTGGGCGTAGGAAGGGAGCATAAAGGCAGAAAGAGACACAGACAC